AAAGTAAATAGCAAGTAAGTTAGAGGGAAGTGGATCGTGCATTTACTCCGGTGATAAACCAGTTTTAACAATATTTTCGGGAAGGCTGGGTAATTTTTCTACGCTCAGCCCCCTGGTTTATTTTGCGCAAATTCGCCCTGATCCGCGATTACAGGGCTTGTGGAAAGTGCAGCGACGTAAAAGATAATATCACGCCTCTCGACGATCGTTGGAAACAACTTATCCAGTGCACCAGTTTTACAGGCTTGCTCCCAAGCCTGCAAGGTATTTTATTGTATCTTCATCCGCAAATTATGCAGGCCAAGTATGCCAGCAACCAGCTGTGGCAGTTACTTTCCACCAAACCTGTAAGCATCTGATAAAAATATTAAACTAAGCTGCAAACTATCCTAAGACATCATTCCTATGCTGCACCACTCTCAACGACGAAAGTGGGGGACACAAGCGTAGCAATTCGCTCTAGCAGTGACTTACTGAAACATATAGTTTTGCTGGTGCTACTTGCTGACGCTTAAAAAATGGGGCGCTTTCTTTACTCAGCTGATCGGTCGGCTGGCTTTGATGAGTGACGGCCGGACCACTTAGGCTGGGTTAGTCAAGTAAGCCACGGAAGCGAGTCACCCGACGAGGCCGCTCCGCCTCACCACACTCCCGATGCCTCCCCGCCCCGCCACGCTCCCGATGCCTCCCCGCCCCGCCACGCTCCCGATGCCTCCCCGCCCCGCCACGCTCCCGAGGCCCCCCCGCCCTGCCACGCTCCCGGTGCCTCCCCGCCCCGCCACGCTCCCGATGCCTCCCCGCCCCGCCACGCTCCCGCCTCCCGCCCAGCCACGCTCCCGGGGCCCCCGCCCAGCCACGCTCCCGAGGCCTCCTAAATCCTAACGAGCCGTGTAACGCGGGCCCGGGCCATCCGGGAGCGGCGGCCGGCCGTTACGGACCGGTGCCGCTACCGATCGATGGCAGTGGTGGCCGGCCTGGTGACGGCGTGGTCAGCTGAGGCCCGCTCCACCCCGCCGGCTGGTCAGCTGAGACCCGCTCCACCCCGCCGGCTGGTCAGCTGAGACCCGCTCCACCCCGCCGGCTGGTCAGCTGAGATCCGCTCCACCCCGCCGGCATGATCAGCAGAAACCCGCTCCACCCCGCCGGCGTGGTCAGCTGAGGCCCGCTCCACCCCGCCGGCTGGTCAGCTGAGACCCGCTCCACCCCGCCGGAGACCCGCTCCACCCGCCGGACTGGTTCGCTGAAGGCCCCTCCACCCCCCTCCGGCGTGACACTGAGGGCCCGCTCCACCCCGCCGGCGTGGTCAGCTGAGACCTGCTCCACCTCACCCGGCGGCCCACCACACTCAGGCGACCGGCCGCCAACCGAAACAGCGCACCCATTCGACGATCACTGACCAAATCGTGACGCATGGCCAAGAGCAATATGCCCCCTCCCCCTCTCCCTGTTGTCGACAAGGCTCGCTCAGAGAGCACTTCAAGTTGGTTAAGTCGCTCGTTCGCTACCACACTCGTGCTTCGAAAACCCCGATGGAGTTTATTTAAACTCTTGGTCAAAGCCCGCACGGCAGCGTCTGCAGTAGGCTGTGCGCCACATTATCCAGCCCTGAGTTCAGTTTGATTCTGCTTAAAAGAGGAGTGCAAACAAAAAATTATTTCAACTTCGATGGAGTTGGCTCTGGTTATAACACTAAAAAGGGAAATCTGGATCACATCCATCTGTCGGCTCGGCGTAGACCTTATTCAACTAACCAGCAATCAAGCGGTTATTCCATTTACAGCAAATGTGAGACGTGAAGGGCGGATGAATGTGAGTAATGCTGAATATTTTCTGGTTGGGAGCTTGAAAAAGTGAAGCGTAATTATATGAGTCGGTATTAAAGTTCACCAAAGCAAATTTATCACATTCCCGTTCGACTCCCCGGGGACTTCGATTGGTAAGGAGGGGCTGCTTTGCCGCTCTAAGATCTCAGAATGTTCTCAACACATCGGTTCGCAACATTCCAGGGAAAAACTCCCCTAGTCTCAGTTGTTTACCTACGTCTTCGGAGAGCCGATAATTTCGAAAGCGATTCATCAGGTGACACCAGACTGGATGAATGACATCGAATGCTCAACGTATCACTTTTCCGTCCATCAAATGGTAGCATGGGAGACCGCAGTAGTAGAAGTAACTGGGGTTTTAGGGCGCTTCGACTGCGTGGTCATTTAGCACCCAATCATCGGAGACCGATAGCATATAAAAACTCACGTGACTAAGTTGTAGCTACACGATTCTTAAGATAACGTATTAAGTTACCTACAGCAATCATTCAACCTGCACTGCAAAAAAACATGACATGGGTAATATTATAGGCCATTGGTACACTGAAGGTGTACGGCTATAACTAAATATATATATATATATATATATATATATATATATATATATAAAATAACATTTTTCTGTAGCATTGAAATGCTATGAATATGTAACTGTTTGGCATGTCACAAAACATTAATCTTGCAGCACGAAATTGCACATTAGCCGTTTTCACGCAGGCTTACGGTGTCAAACTTCGCACAGTTTCTAACAACACAACCATTTTTCGAGTTGCCATCTTTAGGGTTCCTATATGAGACATTGAAATTTTGGCTACTTCCTCCAACCAATTAAAATCCAGTTAACACAGGGCACCCAGGAAATATTTCACCATGTTATGTATACAACAATGGACAAACTATGCCTCAGCAGTTATTCTGCACTGCGTCAGTGATAAAGCACCACGATGTTGTGCGTATCTCACCACAAATCAAACGCGGTTCGGTTGTATTCTGACGTCATGATTTAGGTGACGTGTCATCATTTCCTGCCGTCATTCCTGACGATGGTAATTTTCACAAACCCAAAACGATCCCGAACTAGTTGCCAAAGCCTTTTAGAGTAAGAAGCAAACATATTTAGACTTAACAAGGTTATGGTTGTATAAAATAAGCAGTGAACTGCAGCCTGGCTATCTCAACTTAAGCCCCCCATTTCATATGAAGAAACATGCTCGTCCGAACGAGACCTGTGACACTGCGGGGCTGTTGGCGCATGGGCTGATGCCGTGCGTGAGTCAGCGCTGCTGATGTCGCGCGGAGCCAGTGCCGCTGATGTCGCGCGGAGCCAGTGCCGCTGATGTCGCGCGGAGCCAGTGCTTCACCGGCTAAGGACTGATAACAGACTGACTGAAGGTCAGAATGCGAAAAATTTAACAAGATCAGCGGAAATACTGTGACCTACGAGCGGATGCACGTCCCCTGCCCCCCCCCCCCCCTTTCCGCCTGTCCGCGCCGCTGCTACACCTTTATGATTTCTGGAGAAACGCTTTATATCCCCAATGGTCGCCGCTGATCCTTTCATAGCTCATTATATTCATTAATGGACAAGTAGCAAATTGGGATGACACGTGACCATTATGTCATCTAGTGCACGCCTGATTCACACTGTTGCAGAAGTTACGACACCCTCGGACGGAGAACCAAATGGCGAAACCACCAAACATTATTTTGGTAACTACTGCATAGATGGCGCTGCCACCCAAAACTCACCTGATTCCAGAAGCCCCATGGGTAGCATTGAGGCGGTGGCTGCTGCGTGTAGTGAGGTGGATAAAACCGCGGCGGATGCGGATACTGTGGCACGTGGTGCTGCTGCTGCAGCTGTTGCAGCAGAGGCGGCACCGGGTGGGCCGGACGCGGCAGCAGGGGCGCTCCGACGGGAAGCCCAGCCGGAGCAGGTCGTGCCGGCCGAGCAGGCGCCGTCCGTCGGATGGCCCCGCCGCCCCCGCCCGGCCGAAAGATCGCCTGCGGATCCAGGCAGGGTGCATGCTTGAAGGGAGGGGGGTCGTTGGGGCCGAGCCTGTTGCGGTCCCGGCCGAGCGGCCTGGCTGGCTGCCCTCTTCCATTAGGCGGGGCGCGGCCCACAGCGGCTTGTCTACCGCTCAGGACCCGGGCGGCGGCAGCCCCGCGGCCGTTGGGGACGGGCCGACCTCTGGGCTCTCCTCGCTCGCGCCGGGCGCCGCGGCCGGCCGCCGGCGGGCGGTCTCTGGCCGCGGCCGGGGCGCGGCCGGCTTGCGCGTTGTCATCAAGCTGGGCCTCGCCGGCCGGGGTCCCCTCACGGCCATTTGACCGGGCCTCGCCGGCCGGGGTCCCCTCACGGCCATTTGGCCAGGCCTCGCCGGCCGGCATGTTCTCGCCGACCACCGGAGCAGTGGTCGGCGATTTAGCTGGCTGCATCTCCTGATGCCGTCCGTTCTGAAACGGAAATAGCTGTAAGCGCCGCTGCACGTAAGCTCATCAATACTAAGTCAAGACGTGATAGTAATGCTGGCATGTGCTGCAATACCGTCAATCGCTACCTGTTCACAAAATATCGTTTAGATTTAGATCCGCTGAGTGGCCGACTTCTATATTACTAGGTGGAATGGTTCCATTAATTACAGTTGCATGTAATGAAATTTAACTTTGAAAACAAAGCCTGAGAACAACGCATTGCATCGCATTGCCGAGACATCCATTCTTCTGACTCATTCCTTACGTTTCAATTGTGGCAACTTGCGCATCCTGTACACTCACCTCCAACGGTAGTGCGTGCAGTGAGGCCTCGAGCTGCGCCACGGGCGACAGTGGTGGTGACGGCGGTGACGCCCCCAGCATCATCTGAACACGAGGCCGTCCGGGGGTCGACACGTGCGGCGCCCTCAGCACGCAGTCGGACGCCGGACGTCTCTCCCTCGCTGTCAGCCCGCGGCCGGAGGCGGGGCACCGCGTCGGAGCGCTGCAGCTGGCCGTCGGCAGCCAGCGAGAGGGACGGCGACGTCTCTGCCCGCCTCAGCCCGGCCCGGCTGCGCTCGCAGCCGATCAGGGCGGCCGCCGACGCCGGCCGGATGGCCCGGCTCAGAGCACCGGTGCCGTTTGACGTCGGACCGGTGCCCTGAGCTGGGCCGGCCGTCGGGCTCGGCGGGGGCCGGGCTGGCGGCGGACAGCAGGGCGGCGGCGACCCCTCACAGGTCAGCTGACGGTCAGCGTCAGCGGTCTCCGGTGACGCAGGCTCATCTCCGCTGCTGGGAAAGCCGCCGTTTCTCGGGTCTATGTTGACCATGGTCTTGTGCTGGCCAACACCACTCTCTGCAACAGAGGGTCGTTGTTGCCTGTTAAATGCATCTCGGTCGAGAATCATGGCGGTTTAAGGAAAGGACACGTGTTTTTCACGACAACTCCATGTGAGCGTGTACCAAATTTGTGCTTTGAACGCTCACATAAATTTTCTTCTATGATCAACCGTCATCCTGTTTAGTTTTTGTATAGCTACAACCAGTGCATGGGGTTGCTATCAATTGAACATTCATATTAAGTTACCCGTTTACATGCGTTTGCGGGCTTGCTTCGCTGAGAGACGTAGCTTCCATGGACAACTTGTGTCAGGATTATCTCGGGAAACATTCAACACCATTCATGGGATTACTGGACCCACCCAACCTCCGACTGCTGAGACGCCTGACAATGTTATGTGTTAATCACCAGGGACGTAGGTGGGTGATGGGAAACAAACGTAATCTTAAAGTCAGTTTTCGTGCCGCATCTGGGGTGAGCCGCGTGTAACATTGACAGAAATCCACGTCACAGTCTTAAAAGAACAGTCATACGCCATTTCACATCATTTCCGATCGTCCCGCACCATATCATCTCGATTCCGACAGTCAGACTACATATAGCCCCCTTCTGCTATTTGCGCTCCACAAAACCTCGCCTCTGGCAATGCGCCTCGCCTCGCATCCTGCGTTTTGCCAGACAGAATGCAACTTTTATGCTGCCTTAGACGAGGCCAACGAAAGGAGCACAGGTAAAAGCAAGCGGAAAATGACGCGCTTTGTATGTCCTGGAACTGTGTAAGCGTCAAGCGTTTTTGTGTATCTTCTGTATTTAACAAGGTATATGCCATGAGAAGTATCTGAAAACTAATCAATAATAAATCCGGGCCGGACTAGGCCAAGTCGACCTCCTACCAGGCGCGGCGATAAAACAAGCCGTAAAGCTCGGCTTGCCGTGCGCCCGGTCCCCCTGGCCGGACCGCCAGCGCACTGTCGTGTTCCTCATACATGGTGAAAATGATGGCCGGCCCTTCCGGCCGCGGTGGGAACCGGGGGGGGGGGGGGATTATCGCGCCGGCGGTGGTTGTTTGGCGGCCCGCGGCCGGCGGCCGATGGGGGCTGGGGGGGGGGGGGGGGGGGGGGGGGCGAACGCCGGCAGTCCGGGCCGGCGGCCGACGGGAAGCTAGGCACTGCCGAAGTTTGGACCCGTCCGGCGAGGGGGGTAAACGGTCCGGCGCCATTTTCCTGGACGTTGCGTCGAGCGCGCAGTCGTGCCCAAATACGTTCCGGCCGCTTCTTGCACACAGCAGTGAGCGGCCGATGTGGATCCGGCTGTGAGGAGGGTGCTTTCCGGAGACGTCAAGGAGTAGCACTTGAATGTTTTGCTTGGTTGTTTTGCTGTATGCAATCCTAATGAGTCTGCGATCAGATCGCATGGGCGGGACGAAACATGTGCCGAAGCCCACGCTACTTAATGCCCTAACGGACACATCTGACAACAAACGGCTGGTTACTCGCCAGACCAACTGATGTTGCACGAGGTCAAACGGGTTCCCTTGGTTTCGTACTAAATAATGATAACGGTCGAACGGCACCATCGTTTTGTGTCATTTAATTATGTTCAGGCTAAACCAGGCCGGGCCAAGTTGTTAGGATCACATCAGATGAGGCTGGGACAACTCAGTAGCGTGACGTCTAGAGCAGAGGTCTTTAGAGTGCTGCATGCAAATATAAAAAAGCAAATATCCAATCTTCCGTCCTACTAAATGCCTATTGTTCGTATCATTGTGATGGCTAGGTTTCAGGCAGCTATCAGCTGTTGCGTGAAGATTTAAAGCAAACATTTGTACGCAACGATTGCTGTGGGCACATTGATTCAGGGTCACAGATGCCGGAGGGAACAAACTTAAGGACATAAATTCCCGTATAAAATAAAAGCTGCAATTACATGCAATGTAGGCCAAATCTTGACTAGTGTTAATCGTCTGAAAACAAATCACCGAGGGTTGCGTGGGCAGATGTAACCGATGTTGAGTGTGTTATAGATAGAAGTTAGTTTTATGCCCAATTTTTTGCAAGAAACTCAAATGTTGACAACATTCAGGTGTTTTTGGGCGCGCCGACCGCAATGGTAGTTTTGCGCCCATTTATGCGTTACACATTTTTAAGCTAAGCGCGATGATTCATTGAGCCGGTACGCCGTGAGAGCTTAGGTTCGCTAGACCAAAAAAAGGGCAATGGATTGGCGCGCGATAGCTAAACCATCTTCCTTTTGGTGCAGAAAACATCGAAATTAGTGCGATAGAATTTAGCGGAGCCGACATCCGACCCCTCCCTACTCTCCCCGGCTCCGACAGCCGCGAACGCAGCCGGAATCCGATCCCCGCCCCGCACCACCCGCGACGGGCCGGCGGCGTCTCGCCTAACTGGGGTTGGGGCCACCATCGCCCCCCCCCCCCTCTCCGCGGTCTGGGGAGGATGTGGTAAAACGCTGCCGAGTGCCTCATCAGACAGTCTCACAATTTTTAGGGGGCTACGCTACACTGACATTGTCTGGGGAGCACACAAGTCACCTTATCTTATTACATCTTATTACAGTTATCTTATTGCACTCAAGTTACTCATCACCGGACATTGAATGCGTCGTATGTGCTTCAGGTTCGATTTAAGAGACGTGTTAGTCATTTAATGTCAGTGAAATAGCCCTTTTTCCATGGTAATTGAGGCGAAAAGTCGCTTCTTGAACAGGGCATTCCAGTGTTTAACGTCGTCACATGCTAACAGTAAACATAGCTGCTTTGATTTTCAAAAAAAAAGAACTGCTCAGTTCTCATTGTTATCTACACACAGTTAGAAACCACTTCAATCGCACATACAGCCCATGAGCCGTAACTTCCACCACAGATGTTTGCTAGAAGAGATATATTGCGTGGCAACATGGAAGGGGGGGGGGATGGGAGGGGGCAGAGCCTTTCGCATCTCTCATCTGTTTTGACGGTAAACGCACGGCGTCCGTCTGGCTATGTCGCATCCGTCGACCCAGTCGCCAGCTAGCCAGGACTAAGAGAGGCTCTGTGGGAGCCATCGTCACCTCAAACCACGACTTCCAATCAGCTGCGCAGCCAAACTCTTGACAAGGTGTAAGGGGGTGGAGGGACTTCAGAGTTACAAAGGGCCCCTGATAGCGAAAGTCCCCTACCTCCAAAAAATAACCAGATATGGCTAACCTGATATCGAGGGACCAGAAGCTACCTCAAGATACATTTCTGCTTGTATTTTGAAGTCAATAAAGTGGAGGAAGTCGATGTTAAGTGACTGCTTGGAATAAACCACCGGCACTTCTCATTTTACAGTCATTCAGAGACTCTTCCTGAACGGTTATCACTCAGAAACTTTCGACATAATTGTTGTGGGCTGTGCAGAAAATTTGGAGACCCGTGAACGCGGGGGCAGATCAAAATGATATTAACCATTGGTATGAATATGGCCAGCCGAGGTCCACCTGGGAATGTTTTTAAGTACGGATTTTGATACTAATTTCCACTGCGTTCGGACGGCAAACCGAAAAAACGAAGACGGTCGTTCGCGCCGCCCGGCGGCTGCCGTCATCTGCGCCGGCCAACGCCGTTCGGCCTCCCGCAACTGCGGCCCCGGCCATCGGTGTTCTGATTCCTAACATTGCCTGCGCGTGGGCTCACAACTTTGTTACGCAACGTTTTCACTAGATGATTTGGGAAAAAAGCACGTCTTGGGACTAGCATCAGTTTTTTCCTCATTATCTTTTACCTCCTTTTCATGCATTCTATTGAACACTCATAAGACTCCTTGCCTTTTCCGTGTAAGCGACCCGCAGGTAGAACACGGGGGTGTCATTATGGTTCCCCGCCAGGGGCTGAAGGGTTATTACGTCCCCAGGACGGGGTGACCACCGACTACCAACCTGGCGACACGGGCTCCAGTTCACGCCCTATCTCTAGACTCCAGTTCAGCTTAACACGCGCCCGGGTGACCGGCTGAATACCCTTCGCTCGGGTGGGGAGTCAGTTTGACCGCCCCTGAGATCTCAGGAACTGAATGAGACCTAGAGACACCAAATTCAAGAGTGTGTTGGCCTGTTCGTGAACTCACTGGTGTCAAAATTTGAGGTTCCTAGGTCATGACCTTCGGGTCAAATCAGGTCAAACAGGATATAACTTAACATTGGTGTCCAAAGTACTCCAAAACCTAAATACTTGTTCTAAGTAAAAGATCATTGGTGCTCATTAAAGGTAAGTGACCTTGTTTGATCTTTCGGAGGTCATGGTGACCAAATCATGCAAGACTACTATGAGTTATGCATTTGAATAAGCGTTAAAGATTACGCTGGGAAATGCGGTACTTAAAACGACATGCTGACCTGAGTCATTTTGGGTCAGTGACCTATCATGGCCTTTAACAACCATATGAAAGACGCCTGAACGCCTCGCCATAATGTGGTTCCTGTCGTCAATAAATTCTGAATGAGTACCACAAACTACCCCACACAGCAAGCTCTAGAGATATAAAACGGGTTGGTTTTTACCTAGGTCTGACCGTCATATCTGACCCTAAGTCAATCGAATTTGTTCATTGAATTGTCGTGTTCCCTAAGAAAATATCTCGGAGATATATGGCTTCGTTGCATACTCAGTTGTTGGATCAGATTGAACGTTTTCCTAGAAATTGTCTTCGCTGAATCCATGGCCATCTTTAACCCGCTGTAAGTCAGCGACCATACAAGGTACACCTATGGTACCCAACGATCTGCCTAGATAAGACAGTAGTATTAGCCTCATTCCTCGGAGAAAACCAAGGATAATGGAGATATAGTCGGTTTGATATTTCGGCAACATTCTTTTATCGAAACAATAGCAGAATAAAAAATTGGAATAATGTTCCTCGTTAATGCACTGAACAGCTTACCAGCGATCTCATATTAAACTGTCTACAGCTGTGCAAAAGTTGGCGCGGCTGCGCTGCGCCACAAAACAGGAGAATGGAGATATAGATGCGCTGATG